AATGTCGAAGACAGAACGTGATTTGGTTTAGCAAAGTGAGTTGAGTGAGCACCTCTTCCATCTTGTGAGTTCATTCATTCAGGATTGTCTGATTGTTCGGGGGGATTGTTTTTATTCATGCTACCTCCTGCAGAGCCGAATAGACAGGTTCAACATGAAAGACAGGTAAGAGATAACCAATCACAGAAAACAATATGCGATAAACGAGGCCATCAGAAGAGTCTAAAAAAACATCACACTGGAACAAACCCCTAAAACAAACTAAAGGACTAAAGGCCAAAAAACAACAGGTTGTAAAATATGGACACACATTTTCACAAGTTAAAATTCAGCATGTTTAAATAACATCATTTCCACTCACTTTTCTTAGTTTTTCTGTGCGCATGATGCTATTTCTTGGAATTTACACTTCTTGAACATTTTCCACTCATATGGTTTTAATTTACATGTAGTTAAATTTGTAATGGGAGGTTAGCATCAGTTCCTGTTTCCTCTTATATCATCATCTTAGCTCTGTACACAACTACACAGGATTTTTGTCCTTTTAGTATTTTTTGTCCTCCTTACTTCATCCATCTTCTAGCTACAGTGCATTGTCTTACTTTTCCTGCTTTTTAAAAATCTGACTGTTTCACTTTGATTTCATCCTTTGTTATTGTTGAATGTTGCTGCAAAACCCGATGTTACACTCAATGTTTTAGCTTGGATAAAAATTAAACTCTGTGGTAGCGTTGATTGAAATAACTGGATCTGGCACATCCCCTGTTTTTCCTTTTGTATAAAATAAATTAATTGTCCAAAGTCCCATGAAATAAAGAGATAGAAAGTAAAGTACAAGATACTTTCAAATGTTTTAGAGAGGTTGTTTGGTGTAATTTCAGACTGGGGCTGTGTATTGGTTGCCGGGTGGGGGGAAGGTGTGACATCAAGCTGCCTTTACCTTTGTTTAGAGACATAGAGGGGGCTCTGTCCCATCACAATGGGACTGAGAGGCCAGTGTGTGTCGTCTGTGCATACGTGTGTGTGTGGGTTAGCTGCTTGCTGCCACACCCAGTCTGATTGGCTGAAGCCACACCTTACTGTGGAATCCACTGTAGCTGGGTCACATGTCGGCATGCAGTCCCTGATATAACAAAACACAGCACCCCCCCCCCCCCCCCAAAAAAAATATTAAAAACACTTGTTAGTGGTTTGTGATTGTTTTGGTGATTATGTCTCATTTAGGCTGACATTTTTCTTCATGGCTTCACTCGGCACTGAATTTGGGATGAAGAAAGACTGAAAATTAGCTCTGTGGCAAAGTTTATTTTCAATTCTTGAATCCCAGATACTGTTAATCTTATGTAGACAAATGTTTTTAAAATGTCATGTTTGAAGTATTGACTCTATGCTGTAGAAGAAAATGTAAAACTCAGATTTTCAGTAGTTTAAGATATTGTTCATAAATGAACAGCTGTGTGAAAGTGAAACAGTAGAAATCTACTGAAAGAACCTGTGACAGACATTTTAATACCGTGACTGATTACTACCACTCCTTTATATTATTATTATCTTGAAAACGTTCCCTTTGAAAACTTACCGGCGATGCATCATGTGCCCTAAAATACTCCCATCCATTGTTTTCTATGTTTGTCGTCTTGATACTCCATTGTCCATGTTTCAAGCTCTGTGTGTCAACACTGTGTACATCCCCGCTGTACCTTTGCTACTTATTCCTTCTGTATGATGTACCGATGCATTGTTATTGTTTGGTAACACACACAAATGGAAAGTACAGTAAGTACATTTCCTGTAGTACTGTACTGAATACAGCGTCGACCTGCTTTACTTGAGGACAGTTAGATTTCCTTTTACCCCATTACATTTTAAACTAAATATTATAATACTTATTCTCTGCTACATCTATGGATGCAGTTACTTTGCAGGTTATAGATGTCACAGGCAAAAATAAAGACAAGCTTACAAGAGTGATGTATTGCTGTACGTTGATCTACCCAACTGTGTATAGAAGTTAGACCCACCTAGACCAGTTACAACATTAAAATTCTGCCTACAGTTCAACACATGTATAATTTCACAGTCTAAGACAAACAGCTAAAAGGTTTACCTCAGTGGTACTGTTCATTTAGATTATTTAAATACATTGTTTGGGTGGTACTGTTTAGTCCTGTTTAATTCCTAGAGGTTATTATAACACCCCTCATCCTTACAGTACATGGTGGACTCTACTGTATAAAGCACTACATTTGCCATGGCAAGCAGTGGGTTGTACTGCAAGGTCGCTACTGCAGACAGGAAGTTGAGAACTAGTTTATGTATTATAGTGTCTATTTGCGCTGTGAGAAAGAGAAAAAGGTTTGAAGTCAATTCAGCACCACTTCCTGTTTTAAAGCCGGCTCACATAGGATAACCTGATCAATACTAAGCCATGCTGGATATTCCTTTCCATCAGTGTGATTGTCCTTTAGAGGTACAGCAGAGATGCTCACAAGTCTAACTCAAGTCTCTTATGTTGTAATGAGTGTTTTATGAACATACAGCTAAAGTCGCAACTTCAAATCCCCATCTGTGGTGTACAGGTTCAGCAACGCAACTACCTTCAGGAGACCCAACAAGATGTGTCCCCTTTGTTAAGTCAGGTCAGTTTCACATTTAAAGCCTCTTGACTTAAAGAACTACAGCCCAAGTGTGGGAAGTCAGATTTCTTTTTAAAACCACAGCTTTAAAAAATTCCGCTGAAATGTCAGCTGTAACCACATTTACATCAGCAACAACTGAGCTCAAGGGGGAAGACGAAAAAGAAAGAATTGAAAGGGAAGTAATCTTCTTTTTTTTTTTTACAACTTCCACTATTGTAGATCAAACTGGTCATGACCCAGCAGTGGGTCGCAGGGTGGAGACAAGTGGAACAATAAAAGCTGTATCAGTCTGTGTACAGAGAAAACGATATTGATATATAAATCAGATTTCATATCTTGTGGTTTAAATTAATGGTCTTGCTGCTTTTGAAGTACATATGGTTGGAAGCCTGAAATTACAACATGATGAAACTAATTCTTGAGCTTTAATTGACCTTGATTTGTTCATTAATCAAGAAATAGACAGCAATTTTGATCATTTATTAATAATTGAAGCCATTTTTCAAGCACAAATGCCAAACATCCTGTGCTTTCAGCTTCTCTAATGTGAGAATTTGCCGCTTAGTTCTGTTTTATATCAATATTAATTGAACATATTTTAGTCTTGGACTATTTGTTGGTTAGAAATTTGAAAAAATCACCTTGGACTCAAAGAACTTGTGACAAACATTTTAAATCTTTTTGACATTTTATAAACTAAAAGAGTGATCACCATTAAAATATTGTTTGCTCAATTCACACAGCCTCACTGTTATATTTCCCTTTCCATTATTATGTTATTCTACTATACTGTTCAATGGAAGAAGTCTGAAAGTTTAACTAACCCTTTTATAAAAAGTTACATTCATTAGCTTCACTAGCACAGGGGGTGAAACCTTTAAATGTAAATGCTCTGTACTTGTATAGCGCCTTTCTAGTCTTTTTGACCACTCATAGCACTTTTTACACTACATCTGCATTCACCATTCACACACATTCATTCACTGGCGGAACAGCCGCAATTCGGGGTTCAGTATCTTGCCCAAGGACTCTTCAACATGCAGCCTGGGGAAGCCGGGATTAAACCGCCAACCTTCCGACTAATGGCCAACCCGCTCTACCTCCTGAGCCCTTTACACTTTATTGGTACTGACTGAAAGGTGTCCATAGTACAGAATATTGAAACCTGTCAATTGAAGAAAGCTTGCTCAGATTCAAACTCTTCTTTACTTACATCTTTTTGAATTTTAGATTTTTAGACAAAGTCATGCATTCGACACCATTTGACATTCGAGAACTTTGGTGTGTTTCGTTGAAGGTACTGGGAAAATAATATTTTTTTTTGTTATTGGCACTGGGTTTTGTACATATTGCCAGAATCAACACATTTGATAACAGAAATGATAACCGACGCTACACCTCACCAAATATTTTGGATTCAGAAGAAACCTAAACCTTTAACATAAGTTGTATTTTAGTTTTATTTGAGCATATCTCAGATAGAGTTAATACACATCTGAGAGAGGAAGAGAAGAAAATGGAGACAGAAAAAAAGGGGTGTGCATTATTAGAAGTGTGTTCGCGGAGTCCCTCTGCCTCGACACTCCCCACACCTCTCTCGCTCTCTCTCTCTCTCTTTCTGTGTGTGTGTTGCTCGCTCGGCTTCCAGAAAAGGGTGTGTCCGCCTGCCTGCTGCTGAAAGGGAGGGAGGGGTCAGTTCACGGCTACTCCTCCCTGCTCTATCTCTCTCTCCCCTGTGTTTCTCTGTTATTTCTCTTTCGCTCTCATTCTCTCACTGGCAGCCTCAGGATTAGGCCTTTGTCTCTCTGCCTCCTCTGTCTCTCTCATTGCCATTTTAATTTTCTATCTTTTTTAAACAGAGTGGTGGTCTCTCTCTGTGTGTGTGTGTGTGTGTGTGTGTGTGTTTTTACCTCCCCCTTCTGGCAGATTTTTGAGAAGGGGTTTTCTTTAGCCAGCTTTTAGAGCAGAGGTAATGCTTGTTGTCATTTTTTCCCTCCAAACTCTAGCATGCCATTTCCTGTCTTGCTTCCTCTCCTACCTGTCTTCCTCCCCCTCTTCCCTGCCTTCTTATCTATTCTCCTCCATTCTTCACATTTTTCTGTTGCTTCCTTCTTCCCCCATCTGCCCACTTTACTCCTCATTCCTTCTTCAAATCCTTTAACAAATCCTCTCCTTTCACCCTCTCCCCCTGGCCTGGAAGTTTTGGCATCCCCTTCCCCCCTTCCTCAACTACCCCCTTATCACCTCCTCCCCTCCCTTCCTCAGATACCTTCTTCTCCTTCCCTACCTTCTACTCTTCTTCCTCTACTTGTCAGAGACCCCTCTTTACACCACTCATCTTCTGTCTCTTCTCCTCCTCAGTGCCAGTCGACTCCTAAGCAGAAGAAGAGTGCCATCGGCGCCCAGAAGAAGCAGAGGAGCCCGGCCAAGCAGAGCGCCCTGACCCCACAACAACAACCGCCGCCCTCGTCATCACCACAGCCGTCCGCAGCCCGGGAAGAGGAGGAGAAGGAGGAGGAGCCGGCGACCGGGCCTCGGCTGCTGCAGGAGGAGGAGGAGGAGGAAGCAGGGGAAGAAGAGCGAGAGGAAGTGGCGACACCGTCTGTGAAGAAGAAGGAGGAAGAGGAGGAGGAGGAGGAGGGCGAGATAGACATGCCCTCCATACAGATCAAACCAGAGCCAGAGGAGATGGAGTGCACGGTGAGGTGGGGGGGTGGGGATCGATGTGATTTTGTTGATTGATAAGAAGTAGGTTAGGGATCTGTGGGTGAACAAGCAGTAAAAACTGAAGGACTGGTGGATGGATGAGAGTCAGGTGGGTGTGGGCAGGTGTGGCTTGCATCACTCCCAATCAGACGTGTTTGATCACGTCGAGTTCCCACATGCAAGATCCTAGTCAGTCAGACAAAGATTTTATTTTAATGCCAATACTTACCTTGGCATCAGGAAGCTGAACAAATGAGTCAGAGATAAAATGAGTATTCATTTGTAAAATGATTCAACTCTCACCACCTAGATCTGATAGATTTGTTTAGATTTCATCTTATGGTTTTCATATATATCTAAGAATGAACAGCAAACATGGCAGCCAAATGTAAATCAGAGCCACGGCCTCCATTTCATTCCAATATTCATTCATGCAATCCTCTGTAGATTAGGCAGAGGCAATTTTAAAGGGGGAGTTCTGGTTCATTACAACCTGGGTCTTATTTTCATAGTTTTGGCCATCATTCTTTTATATAATGATAATAATAGTGTTCTCACCAATTTAATTGCTGAGATCTGGGAACACGGGAAGAGCGCTGAAGGGTAAATGCAAGAAACAGGAGTGGTCAGACAATCAGACAAGGTGTAAACAAACAGGGTAGCCAGAGGCATTTGGTAGAGAAAGCAATGTTGTGTAATCATTACCCAAATTGTCTGTTTTTAACTTCCGTCACAGTTTCTTTACTGACTTCCTGTTTCACTGTTGGTTTACCGTACTTGCAGTACTACTACTACACACAGTTTTCTGGTGTAAAGCTGGACCATTACCAACATTTCAGGTGTGCTTAGTGTCAATTCAAGCTTAAGTTGAGATAATTTTATATTTGCTTGTTTACAACCTGTTTGACTATCTGACTGCTTGTGTCTTGTGCCATGGTAACTGATACGATGGACAAAACTACAAAACGACACAATAAAACAATATAAATAAAAGTCCCTAAATCTGTTTTAGTATGTTGAAAGCTGGAATAAATCCATGTTAGAGGTCAAGATGCTTTATCGGATTGTGTAGACAGAAAAACATATACAAGGCGCTGCCTTGGTGGTCATGTGTTGTTTCAAGTACCAGGGAGATGGTGAAAGACAGTACAGGAAGTCCAGTTTGAGTGCCCTTAAACTCTGCACAGTGGTTTATAATACTTTGATTAAGACTTTTACAACTGTAAGTATGGTGTTCACGTTACAAAATAATCTTCTGGCAATGTGCACAGGTAGTTTATTTGAAATGATAAGGCAGTGTCATGCTCGGTGATGTCACTTTGCATTGCGTTAAATGTTGAGCCAAATTCACCTTTGTTGCTTTTTTTTTGTGTTGGCACCCCTGCTGTGACATTGCAATGGCCCCATTCAAATGAAAGAGGAGGTATCCCCATGCAGTGCCTGTCTGACCGCAGCCCAACTTGGTTCCGTCACTGTTGTATGTTCATGCTTTTATAACGCAAGTCTTTAAACGAATAGAGTTACTGCACATTTTTCGAGGTTACCCTACAGTGTAGTCTCATATCATAAATTCTACTCTTTTCAAAATATACTCAAACGTGATTGTTGAAGTAATTTGTGGCATTAAAATTTCATTAGGTGACCAAATATAGAAAAAAATCCCATAGTTTTGCATCTCTTTACCTGCTTCATAACACTCATTATTCAGTGTAAACATGTCAGTGACTACTTTTGGATATCTATCCTGAGCAAATATGTTTGTACAAGGGCTGTTGTAGTTCTGCGGTTTGGTAGCATTGTGTGTTCTTTGTGAGTGACAACTCCCAGGTGACAGGTGACTTGTGACAGAAGTCTGTTATGACAACTGTGAGTTTCTATATCCCTGTGTCATACATGGAGTTTGCAAGTATTATTAATTTCAGTTACTGCTAAAAAACTAATTTTTTTGGCAGAACCTCAGGATTCAGTTAACCAAACAAACGAAATGTTAATCAGTTGTTTCACACCTTTTCTGTTTTCAAAATTAAATGGAAATAGTTTTTTGAAAATCCTGCTGACAGACAGTAGAACAGGGCAAAAGCATTTTTCAAATCCTTTAGAAAAAACACACGAGTGGCTCCGACATTTTGACTTTGAATAGATGTTGATTTGACCGCTTGCTCCAAAATATTCAAAACCTTTCATTTTGTGAAATTGGACTTTACCTATGAGTGATACCAACTCAAAACTATTTCTAAGCCATTCTCCTTGAACTTTGTCCGACTGTCATATTTTGAGGGAGCTTTGCTTAAAAGGTGCCCTCAAAGATGGGCGATTTGTGATAATTCATCCCACTGAAAAACCAGTGACATCACTTGAGTCATTTGGGATTATTCCGAATAATCACCACACATTTAGTAAGAATTAGCAGGAATTTTATTTTGGAAAATTATATTAAATAGAGGAAGGTTTCTATGAAGACAGGGGATGATGGCAGAGCACAGTATGAGGGATGCATTAATGATAAAAGGAGGTCTGTAAAAAGATGGAGAAGGAAGTGCAAAAACAAAACTGTTGGAGGAGTGACTGGTGAGGTAAAGGGGTGTTAGGTGGGAAGGATCAACGGGGTGATTGGATGTTATTTTTATGAGGAACAGGAGGAGTGTGGTGATGGCTGTGTTGAAGGTCAGGAGCATCAGATGCTTTAGTTTCCTTGAAATGTACAAACGTGGTAATGTATGATAATGTATGTTCTTTTGGTGAAGCAGTTTTCTTTGTTCAGCTATGGTGACTATCACAACACGTGCTAATTACCCAAATCATCATAATCTTCTTCTTCTTCGGCGGCTGCTTATTCCAAAGCAAACCAGAATCATAAAAAAACATTACTTCCTGTGCTGAGATTTGTTCCCCTGGAAATGACCTACCTCGCATTGAGAAAGAAAAGCTTTCTGTTAATTAGTCAATGATTTTTTTAATCTAACTAATGAATGGTTTAGTCTATAAAATGTCAGAAGATAATTAAAAATGCCTGCCACAGATTTTTCCAGAGCCCAGGATGACCAATGTCCAACAAACATTTGAAATTCTAAAGAAATTTAATATCTGAGAGAGGAAATTGGCAAATTTTACAGATTTGAAAAGCTAAAACTTGATAAATATACTATTAATTTTTTTTATATTGTAGCGATGGTGATGATGCAGCAGGCCTTTGAGAAAAGGTTCAGCAGTTTCCAGACCAGTAGGAAATCTCTGGACAGGCAAAGTGAATGAGAAACACCCTCATTGTTCTCTGTAACTGCTGCTGTTGGAGAGCCTTTGAGCTAAGCATTTAACTGCCTTATAACTCAGGGGGCCCTATCTTACACCTGGAGCAAAGTGTCACTGCTAGTTTCCGACCGACACAGTTGTCATTTTCAATTAAGAGACTAAATTCAACCCCTTTGCGCGTTCCACCTTACTGTGGACCCAGATTATGCACCGTTTATCTAGCAAAAGTGGAGCTGGACATGCTTTAAATGCGTGTGCGCCATGCACTTTTCTCCAGGTGTGATTGATTTTTAAATATGGCCCAGAGTCTCCAATAGCAGTGAATGAAGGAATGGTGTGAACTGTGTGACTGTGAATCGAGGCAGCTCCAAGGAAAAAAGCTTGTGTGTTCTGCCAGGGTTCTCTGGATATATATATACTCTGATGAGTCCTTTTTGCTCTGTTGACGAGACGTCGTGAAAGGGAGGGAGTAGGAAGTGCAGGTTACCCTGATGGTACCCCGGTAATGATAGATTGATGGATAGAAAAGAGATATAAAATCGTGTACACGAAAAAACACTTAATAGCTCTCACAGCGTGTTGACATTTACGGTTTTGCATTTCGAGCAGCAAAGTTGACCTTTTGTTTGTTTTAATCCTGAGTGACTTTCAGGGACAGTATCAAGAGAACCAGCTTCATGAAATAAATAGTGAGTAGGTCAGAGGTCACAGCAGCTCCAAAGCGCCCTGACAAGAGACTGTGTGAATCATTTTGAGGAGAAAAGCTCCTCTTGAATCCAAGCTCCAGCTAGGGTTACGCAGCATGTCGCCTCAATGACCCAGCGGATTCATTTCTTTCTGCTATTTTGGTCTGCTAATAAATTAAGCTAAGCTGAGCGACATCTTTTTTCCTTATTATTTACACAGAACCGGAGAGTCTCATGGAGCATGGGAGTGCCCGTATCTTTCAGGCAACTCCTCTATTATTTATTTATTTATTTATTTATCTTTTGCACAGGACCTTTCATTATCTCAGATAAATCCCTATGTCATTTACCAGTGTTAGTCAACCTCATATATAGTGCATATGTCTGTCCTACCGGTGTTGGTTAGTCTGGTAAGTGTTCCTCCTTCTACACTCAGTCTGTGTTTGGCAGATGTTGTCATGATTTTCCAGATTTCACATGTTCTTTACCTGTACAGCTGCATTTTGGACTCTGATCTGCAAATTTCTGGAGCTGTTTTAGTTGTCTTATGTTTCTTTGAAAACTGAAACCTGAGTGCCCACAAATTCCCAGATTTTAATTACACCAGATTCTGATTACACTGTTTGGAATTTAAATTCTCTGCCAGTAGGTAGGTAAGATTATTTCGTCTACCTCTTGCCTTCCAAAAGGCCACATTATTTTGGTTACCTGGACGACCTCGTGGCTACACGGTCACAGCTCATATTTACGAGTGTTTGTCTGCCAGCTGGATGTAGTTCCTCATCCTCATTAGAGACACAATGACAATTGGTGGCTTGACTTTGTAAAGGCTAATTAAATATAATTATAAGTAATAAATAGTATGTTTGCACATAGCCCTGGTCGAGCTTGCAGGTTAACACCGCAGGCATGTTGCTACACCTCTGCACCTCTCATTTCTAGCTTTAGTGTTAAGTTGATAGGCAGGTCCACATACCTGTTATAATTGGAGACAGAAGAGGATATTGAATAAAGGGCGTGAGCAGTGATGATAACGTGAGGCCTGTCGGAGTCACGCCA